CCCAATGACTACATACTGTATGATGTCGTGTGAAATTCCTAGAAAAGGCGAAGCAGTAGATGCAGAAAGCAGAGCAGTGGTTACCTAGTGGTTGCTGGGAACAGGGCTGAGCATAAATTGTACAAGGGCAGATTGCATGATGAGGAACTTTTCCTAAAATGAATGTAACATCACAGCAAAACCCATTCATTTGTACAATTAATTAGTTAATTTTTTTTTTTTTGGTTTCTTGAGATAGGGTCTCACTATGTAGTGAGACTGACCTGGACCTCACTACGTAGTTCAGGCTGGTCTCGAACTCACAGTGATCCTCCTGCCTCAGCCTCCCGAGTGCTGGGATTACAGGCATGCGCCACCATGCCCGGCCTAATTAGTTAATATTTATTGCTAAAAGAAATTTAGTAGGGAAATAAGGAAAAAACCTTGGAATACAGTAATGGTTACCCAGCTGAACAGATTTAGGGAGACTCATCAAACTGTGGATCATTTATTTTTGTGTTATTGAACCTATGGCCTGTGCACTGAGCCATACCTCCAGTCCTTTTTTAAGTTTTTAAATTTTATTTATTTGGTACCAGGGATTGAACTTGGGTCCTTGCACTTGCGAGGCAAGTGGCAGCACCACTGAGCTAAGTCCCCAGCCCTTTTAATGTTTATTTTGAGGCAGGATCTTATTAAATTTCTAAAATGCCCAGGTTGGGATTAAACCTACAATCCTCTTCCCTGCCTCTGCTTCTCAGTATGCTAGGATTGCAAGTGTGCATCACCACACTAGGCTTAGTATATTATGTATATTATACAATAAGGCCAGAAACAGTGGTGCGTGTCTGTAATCCAAGCTACTCAGGAGACTGAGACAAGAGGATCACAGTTAATATCCAGCCTGGACAACTTAGTGAGACTTTCTCAAAATAAAAAGGGCTAGGGATCTAGATCAGTGTGAAGCCCTGGGTTCAATCCCTAGTACTATATTAAAAAAAATAATAATAATAAAAAATGCTGGTGTAGTGCTATAATCCCAGCACTAGGGAGGCGGAGGCAGGATTGCTATGAGTTTGAGGCCAACCTGAGCTACACAGTGAATTCAAGGTCAGCTTGGACTACACATACACAGCAAGAACTTGTCTGAAAATTAAATACATAGACACACATACATATACACACTAAAACTTTTTAAAATGAGGACTGACAAGCACTGCTAGGGCACCACATGGAAGGAAATGTAAGCAAAACCTCTCAGTTACTGTGCAATACCCAAACTCATGGAGATTGGTGACTCAAGAGTTTCTTGGAAGGGCTATAGCTACTCCCCTTGCAAGTGACCTCCAATAGTCCCACAAAGCATGTACTCTAAGAAAAAACTGCACTTGCTTTGGAAAGGGATTTGGAGACAATCCTGAGTCTTCCAACAGATTGTCTCCCTCAGCATACACTACACAGACAAGCTGCAGCAGCACTGTCCTATGGAATTACAACAGGCACTACAAAGGTAGTTCTAAACTGTCTATAAGGCATATTAAAACATAAGCAAGGCAGGCGTGGTGATGCACACCTGTAATTCCAGCACTTGGGAGACTGAGGCAGGAGTATGGCAAGAGTTTGAGTCCAGCCTGGGCCACATAGTGAGGTCAAGGCCAGCCTGGCCTCATTTACATAGCAAGACCCAGCCTCAAAAACAAAAAAAACAAAACATAAGCAACACATGAAATTCTAGTAAAAATATTTTCTTTAACCAGTATGTCCAAAGTATTTTCATAATGTAATCAACATAAAAAGTTATAAATGGGGCATGGGAGTAGCTCAGTGGTAGAACATTTGCCTGGCATTCGCAAGGCCTTTGGTCTAAACTGAAACAAGGATTAGGTATGGTTTAAAGTGGCTGGGAAGACAGGAGCGATCAGATCCCACAACCCCGTGTGGAAGTTCCCCTGGGTTCCCATGGTTCCTGGATAAGACAAAAGGTCACAGAGGCCATGAAGAGCTCCCCACCGAGGCTTTCCTCATGGTAGCCCACCCTGTGTTCCCCAGGGTGTAGTTTTCTTATTTTCCCTTCTCCTTGACTTGGCCCCAAGTTTTCTCTGCACAGTCAGTTTCTCCCTTATCCTTCAATTTTACTTTTTCAAATAAACTTTGTCAGTTTTTGATTTTTTGGCACAATTTTTTGTTTCAGATGAAAAGAATCTGGAAACCAAGAGGCGAGCACCCCAAAACATGATAAGCAAACCTCAGCACCACACACACACAAATATTAAAGACACAGTTTATATTCTTTTAATATCTGGAGTCCTGAAATCTCACATGTATCTTACACAAAAACTGGGCAGGCAGGTCAGAGGCAGGAGTCAGGTCACAAGAAGCAGGGACTGTGGGGGGTGCAGGATGTGAAGAATGACACACTTGGGACTGCCTGGTTCCGTGGTGTAGGAGATGTGTGACTGAATGAATTGCTCAGCTTTTCCTATTCTCCATTCAGAAGCGTGGACAGTAATGCCTGCCCTGCTGACTTATTCTGTAGGAATTGAGCAGCTTTCATTACGTTCCCACTACATGCCACATCGGCAAAGGGCACCTGGGCTTCTGCAGTGATGAGCAGGGCCCTAGTAAGGAAGGCTCTAGGAGGCACACAGCACTAGGCAGGCAGGTGGGAGGAGTCTGCACCAATCAGCACTTTTGCAGGCCTTGCCAGTGGGAGGCAGCCTCCCGGTTGGCCCCCAAGCTGGGTCCTCGACTCCTGGTAACCACATCCTATGCAGTCCCTGCCACGTTCTAGGGTCAGGCTGTGTGGCCAGGAGTGTACAGCAGAAGTGACGTTGTAGCACTTCCAGGATGGGGCATAAAAGACCACAGCTTGAGTTGTCATGCTCACCCTTGCCGTGTCTCAGCTGGATGCCTCACTCTGGGAGAAAGCAGCTGTCCTGTCAGGAAAACTCAGGAAGCCTGCTGAAAGACCCAGTGGTGAAGAACTGAAGTCTCCAGCCGGCAGCCAGCAAGAAGCTGGGGTCTGGCAACACCTATGAGACCGAGCCTGGAGATGAGCGCTCTGCAGTCAGACCGCCCCGGAGCCAGGGCTTGTGAGACCTTGGCCAAAACCATGCAGTTTGGAGGGTGGAATCCAAGTCAGGTGAGCCGCCCTTCCTCCTCCTCCTCCTCCTGTGTCTTCCCACCGATCTCAGCTCCTGATGCCCACATAGCCTTGGGAGGGGTGGAGGAGCTGCCCATCCACCTCTCTACCCTCAGGGCGCAGAGGAACCTTTCCCCCTCCTTTCCCTTCTGGCTCCACTAGACAAAGTGCTACAAGGTGACTCACTGCAGCTTCCTCCTCTGGGACAGGCAGAGGGACACGGATGGGGCAGAGGGAGCTGTCCCAGGCCCTTCTGAACTCCGGGTGGCTCCCGGTGTCAGAGAAGCCTGTGGCACTTTGGACTCATGTCCTGTCCCAGATGGAGGTGACTGGACCAGGCGGGCCGGGCACACCGCAGCTTGAATGTGCCAGGTAAGCATACCTGGGGCATCCTCGTTGCCAAGGAGTCCGCATCCATCGAGGACTGGAGGCTGCTCATGGATCTTCACCGAACATGCAAGGAGACCTGGGAAGTGGGCGCTTACTTGGAAACGTACCAGATGTTATTCTTGGCTATGGTCACTGCCACCCTCCTCTGCCCGAGATCTCCCAGCTCACTCTTCCCATCTAGCTCACCGTTCCCTTAGATCAGTAAACCCTTCCCTCCCTAAGGTGACTACTTGACAACTGTTAATGGCACCGTCATGATACACACAGCACACAGGAAGCAGCACGGGGCCCCCCATCCCCACCCCAGCCTTGCGTACCTCTCTGCTGTCCACTACTTACATTGGCACCACCTTGTTCCGGTGTCCCCGGGGTTTCTGCCAGGCTGGCAGGCTGGGGCAGCACAGGACCAGCAGGTGGGCTGCAGTCCTCTTCACTGCTTGCCAGACCTGCCGTCCATGGCTGGTAGGGGAGGAGGCGGTACAGGAGCTGGCGCAGGATGTCTCAGGGCTGGGCAGGCAGGCCACGCTGGGAGGGGCAGTCCCGCAGACTTGAACAGGAGGCAGGAAGCCTCTGCCACCCTGCTGCCCCCAGGGATGAAGGGGCAGTGCCGCTGGCACAGGCTGGATGGCCCTTCTCCTTGGGAGCAGAGCTGAGGGGGCAGGATCCGGGGAAGATGACAGCATCACTTCCTCCTTTGCAGGCTTTATCCTGAATCTGAGCTCTATCCTTCTTGTGGGCCTAGTGCTTCAGGAACAAAATGTGGCCATCTGGTGGTCAAACTTCCTGAGCTTCAGGGATTCCTCAATGTTTAGCGGTCAGTCCCCGTCGTGATGCCCAGGATTGCGGTCTTTCTGTACTTGGGGAGGGACTAATCGTCCGATTAGGAGAATGTTCACCCAGCCTGGGCCACAGGCGTTACAAGATCTGTTTTAGAGTTGTCTACTTTGTGGGGTTGTGGTGGAGGCTCTTGGAGATTAGGTTTTGGTGGTCAATGGAGACGAAGAGAGGGCAGGATTATCGAGCTGTCTGGATCCCCTGCACCAGATATTGGCCCCTCTAGTAGAAAGGTGTATGAATCACAACATCCTACAGTATAACGCGAGGCTCCAAACATCCCCCCTTCGGGTCTTGGTATGGTATTTCTGAGAATCGCTCCTGGGTAGGTTACCACGCTGTTCCGCCACCTAAGGTTACTCTCTGGCCAGGATCGAACTTCTTCCCCATCTCAAAATCAGGGATCTTGACATTTCCTGGGAGTCCAGTAAGTTATTCTCAGGTTTGAGGTCTCCATAGACAAAACCCTAGTCTTGGAGTGCTCTGTATGACACCTGCTACCTGGAGAATAATGTCCGAGCCCCTCCCCCTCCGTGAGAGCATAGATGGCCCTCCGGAAGTGTCGCTTCAAGTCTCCCACACTCTCGTGAGGAAAAGGGACGTCCCAGCCCCGCGCCCGCCCCCCACAGCCCCAGCCAGGCCAGCGCCCGCGTACCTGCGCCTTCAGCGCCTGCGCCACCACCTTACCACCCGACACCAGCTCCTCGCGTCCGTCGCTGGGCTGCACGAACTGGAGCTGACGTTCTGTCATCCCACCTAAAGTTCAAGGTACTCTCGAGAGCAAAGGCCAGGCTGACAGGCACCGCAGAAAACCGGCCTCAAGAGCCCCCTGCGCCACCCGCCCCTCCGACCGGGGCAGCCGACCGCTCTAAGTACCCCCGAGGCCGGGCGGGCCTGAATCCGCTGGCGCACCCTGAGGGGAGACCGAAACCCTAACCTCTTCCCGCCGCCTCCCTCCGCAAGCTCAGAGCGTCAGGGGCCGAAACTAGCAGCCCACCGGGAAGCCAAACCTCGGAGACCCCTCGCCACCTCCTCAACTCCTTAACACCGCAGGGACCAGTGGCGCATGCGCGTGCGCGTGCGGCCCCGGGAGGGAGGGAGGGGGCGTGGCGCAGGCCGCGCAAAGTCTGCTGGATGGGCCGGAGGGGAGGTAAAGTACAGCCAAGGGGTCGGTGTACCCATCCATGGTGCCATAACCTGTGGTTTAATAACCTTGTGGCTTTGCACGCCGTCAACCGCAGTAGTGCGTGTCACTTAATGTCTGTCAGAGGCATACTCTTTACCCTCCTCATTTTATAGGTGACCCCCAGCTTCCAAGCAAGAGATAAGATAAATAGCCCAGAGTCCTTGGATCCAGACCCTGCTGCAGACTCCAATCCTGTCCCCCACCCATCCTTGGGTCCTAAAGCCACGACAGAGCTGCTGCTCTATCTCAGTGTAAGGCCCTGGGTTCAATCCCCAGTGCTGCAATAAATAAAAATAAATGCACACTCACATACACACACTGACACATGTATTCATATTTTTTTCCCTTATGAAGTTAAATATACTCAGAAATGACTTGTTTTTAAAATACTGCCTGTCATTGTGTTGCTACTCTTGCATGTCCCATAGTTTGCTAGAAACTTTTTTTTTTTTAATACTAGGGATCGAACTCAGGACCTTGTACTTGCAAGGTAGGCGCTGTGCCACTGAGCTAAATACCAGCCCTAGAAACTTTTAAAAGTATCCTTCCTGCCCAGAGCTGGAGACAAAAGTATCTGGGAACTCAAATGCTCTGCTTAGTGCAGACGGTGAGACACAATTTTTATAGTCTTGTATTGGTCCAGTTGATATGTGGATTCTAAATGATAAGGGTTATCTTACTACTTTTGGCTTATTACAGAATTAGCTTTTTAAAATCTTGCTAAATTGTAGTGTGTTTGATCATAATATACTAGAAAGAACCTGGGTGGAAAGCAGAACTTTATTCTGCCTTTTTTTTTTTAATTAGATGATAATCATTTCCCTGATCTTGGGCAATGTCAGGCTTGGGTTTCCTTGACTAATAATCTGGATAATCTGGAGGTTTTTTTTTTTTTTTTTTTTTTTTTTTTTTTTTTTTTTTTTGAGAGTCTTGCTACGTAGCCCAGGCTGGCCTGGAACTCACAGTGACTCTTGGCTTAAAACACTTTAAAAGATTGAGGATTGTGAAGCACTGGAGCCCTGCACTGCTACTGTACCACATGGAAAAAAATATAAGCAAAAAATTTTCAGTTACTGTGGATTAGCTAGACTCCTGGAGATTGGTGACTTCAGGCTGCTCCCCCTGCAAGTGATCTCCTGTGGTCCCACAAGACAAACCTGTCGATTTCTGTCTTCCAACAGATTGTCTCTCCCAGCACCTGTTACATAGACAAGCTGCAGCAGCGCCCTCTTACAGAATTATAACAGGAACCACAAAGGTACTTTTAAATTGTCTATTAGGCACATTGAAACCTAAACAAAAGGTGAATTTAGTTCTAATGTATTTTCTTTAACTCAGTAGGTTCAAAGTATTTTCCGAATGTAATCAACATTAAAAAACTGCTAACAGAGGCTGAGGGTACAGCTCAGTGGTAGTGCATTTGCCAAGCATGTATAGAGTCCTGGATCCAAACCCCAGTAGTACAAAATAAAAATATTGCTATTACTAATGAAAACTTTTACTTTCTTCTCTTCTACAGAGTCCTGATATCTCACATGTCTTACAGAACATCTTAATCAAATTAACTACATTTCAAGTAGTTAAGCTGGCTACTTACGAACAGGAGTTGCTTAGAAGCAACCTGACTTAATTGATAATCATCTAAAGACTTAAAAAATATTTGTGAAATGGGTAGTTTTCTTCCAATGATCCAGTACTAATGAAACAAACAAAGTGATGGTACTTGTTGAATTCTGTTCTACAAATGGGCATTCATCTCTGAGAATTTTTTAAAATTAATTTTTCTTACATTCCTGAGGAATTTTTATGGTATTCAGTGAATTTGATTTTTTTAGCCTTAGCAGTTAAATCATCGTTGTCCACTCATGAAATAGGTGTTTGAAATTAACATTGCAAAAGAATCATTTTCAGTCTAAAGTCTACATGGAAGATTAAGATTAAAGTGACTTTTAAAAGGAAACTACATCCTGTCTTTGCAAAGGACCAATTATGAAAAAAAATGAAAAGGAACAACTATGATGATCTGCAGCACTGGTAACAAATGTATGGCACATATACAGATCCCTCTCTATTTCAGCTCACGAGCCAAGTCACCCTAACATGGCACCAGAAGTTGAGCACTCAGGTTTAATTGTAATGTTGACGCTTTGCGACAGATAAGTGGGTTTGGGTTGCAGTTTGGGCACTGTCTCTAAAAGATTCACCATCACTGATCTACATAATGGGTCTGATTATTATAATTATGGAACTAAAGTTACAAGCAGCTACTAGCAATAAGTCATAGAAATTCTAGTGTCACAGATTAAAGACCTATAGTTGGGGACAATCTTGGGTGGGATTTTCTGGTTTAGTTTCTTTGGGAATGAGGTAAAGATGGTCCAGTTGGAAGTAAATGTAATCATTTTAAATGAAGTCATGATTCTTACCCGACAACTTCTTCAGTGGGTTCTGATCTACTATCCATTGTAGCAAAAATCTGATTAATTTCACAAAGTATTAGACAACCAACTTTGACAACTATTCTCGTAGCTGACCACTCAGCTTTCTCGTGGAATTAAAATTCCTCTTCAGGAGCACAGGATTTGGGGGGGCTGTGAAACCATTCTGTATGGCATTGCAGTGGTTTATACATGTCATTAGACATTTATCAAAACTACGGAATAGGTAACATCAAGTGATTGGTATAGGTTTATGGCTAGGGACATTGACAGTGCAGGAAGCTGTGCCCATGTGAGGACAGGAATGTGTGGGATCTCCCCTCAATTTTACAATGAACCTAAAACTGCTCTATAAAATAAAGTCTGTTTATTTTTTTAAAAATTGTTCAATGGGCCACTGTGTCTTGCATGGTGAGTCACCTTCATACTATAGGGTGTACTTGTTTTTCTACTTTTACTTGGCTCAAACTCACTCTGCAGAGCCTGTTACTTTTCCTACCTTTAATAAAACTTTGGTATTATTTGGCTTATATCGACCAATTTGCACAGGACCAAAAGAACCTAGAAACTACCTCCAGCAGTAGACTACAGCACCCCAAAACCGAGAAACATATTTGGCGAGCCAGCCAGGAGACCAGGTAAGGCTCTTTGGGCACATTTTTGTTTGTTTGCTTCTCTCTAAACTGACTTTATGTTTCTGTTTTCTGTAATACTTTGCTCAGCTTTCTCACTCTTTGTAGGGGAAAATAGTTGTTGTTAGCTTGGTAGCCTCCCTATGTAAGCCATCTACAACAGTTTATTCCTTTTTGTGCTCAAAGTCCTATCTGTGCATTTTCCCTAGATGGCTGTTTATTTCTCAGAGTGCTATCTTAGTCCAGGTCACATATGACTGGCCACCATCTCATCTTGTCACATGACTGGCTACCCATTTTGGATCAACGATGTAGCTTCCACCATTTTTGTTTCCCTTCCTTGTTTCTTCTGACAAAAATGCAAGTAATTTAGAAACATATGCCTGATGGCCTGAGAAAAACAAAAGAACATCCAGTGAAGCTTAACTCAAGAAACTGAGTCAAAGGGACATTATCCTCATTCTTAGGACTTTTAAAGCTTTTTTTTTTTCTTGAAAAAAATGAGGTTTCCATTTCTACTGACTTAAACAAAATACTGAAGTTTTGGGCTGGGGATTTAGCTCAGTGTCACTGCACCCGCCTCACAAGCATGAGGTCCTGAGTTCGATCCTTGGTACCAAACAAACAAAACTAAAAATAAAAAACTGAAGTTTTACTGTCAGGGTAAATGCAAGGGATAATGTTTCTCAAGTGGCTCCATCCTGCTTAAATACAGTGGTACTTCAGTTCAAGAACTTGATTCTCTCCACAATTCTGGCTGCAAACTGAATTGGATGAGAACCAAATCAAATTCAATGGTTAGATTCAATGTTGACCTTATGATGAAATTTGATTTGGTTCTCATCTAGTTCAGTTTACAACCAGAATTGTGGAGAGAATTAAGTTCGTGAACTGAGGTACCACTGTAGAACTATCAATGGCCCATGGGAGTCCCAATATACTGTTTCCCACATGACTCTATCCTGCTTAAACTGAGCCATTAAATGGATCAATATGGCTAAGGAGTCCTGGTGGGAAAGGACTTCACCCTGATGGGAGTATTGAAGGGCTAGGTAGCACCATCAAGAGGCTTGACCCCTTCTCCATAAGGAGTCAGTGGGCCCTGATATGGAGACAAAAAGATTAGTAAGGTTTTCTTCTATGCTTCTGTGCATCATACTACCTTTAAACAGATATTTTTGCCTACTAAATACTTGAATCTCACAAGGGGCACTTTGTGGGCTCATCAGGTCTTCTCCTCCTGCAAAGGATGCCACCAAAAGGTCCTGAGACCTGGTTGTCTCTCTGTAGGGCCCAAGACAAGCCGTGGGAAACCTCATGAACCACTGATTCCACAGACTTTGCCACTAGGCCATATCCTTAGTCAGTGAGAAAAGTTTGACTCTAACAATTTGAAAAAGGAACAGCTTATTTAGTATTGCAATGATGTTTTGGTTCAGTATGAACTAGGAAATGGAATGATAGTTTATGAGACTATTTTTCAGTTAAATTGTTTCTGCTTAAAACATAGAAGGTGAAATGAAATCCCTTATGTTCAGGCTTCTGTGACCCTTTATCTTAGGAAAAGCCCGGAAACTATGGTGTTTAGAGTGGCCCCTGAGGAAGAGAAAGATATCTTCGAAGATCCTATTTGCTGATCCCCACCTATCTCTCGGGGAGATATGGTCTCTCCTATTGTTTAATGAAGAAACTTCAGATTGGACTGCAGATACCAATGACCCAATTTCTGGGCATGACCTTTACTGCATTCCACAGTCAGAATCTGGAGAAGGGTCAAAAGAGAAAAGTTGGAATTATACCTGTTGCAACTGGCAATTCAGTAAACTCACCCAAATGGTCTAAGGAAAACCCAAGGATGATGGATGACAAGAAGTGTGGATACTGGCACATAACTGAACCAAGCTACCTCCTATGCCCTGCTCCAAGTGTAAAGCAGCCAGTGTGCCTGATTCATGGCACTGGAGGGTTGACTGTCCCTGCTCCCAGAGAGGGGCTAGGCCATCCCCAACCTCGTTTCCCACTCTGAAGAGACCCAAGGAACCTACAGTGGATATTTTCTGCCCTTGGATATTACCATCTCCTATGTGGAACCTTGGGTAAGCTGGATGTCCTGAGTCAGCCAATTCAATTTTGACTTCCTTTTCTGGAAACCCCTCTTCTAGATCTAGTCGTAGTTGGGGTTGACGGGAGCCCTAGTTGGAGATTCCTTACTCCTGCTTTGATATATCACTTTGAAGGCTAAATGGTTAAACATGAGGGTTTTTTTTTTTTCTTAGACAAGGTCTTGCTTCATAGTACAGGCTGGCCTTGAACTCATGGTGATCTTTCTGCCTCAGCCTCCCTAGTGATGAGATTACAGGTGTGCACTACCATGCCCAGATAATCATAAATTTGTAATTGTGTCACAGTATCCTACTCCCTTGTTAGAAAGAGATTTACTAGCAAAACTGGGGGCAATTCTCAAAACTCAACAAAGGCCAAAACAAAGTTTACCCATTGGGACTATGCCAGGTCTTCCTGATATAATAAGCCAACAGGTAGATCCTGCTGCATGGTATAATAAAAAACCTGACTTAGGAAAATCCTCCTTCCTATACATATCAGAAGAGAGGAATTGTTTGGGGTGTCTTGACCCAAAGGCTAGGACAAGAACTCTGCCCACTGGCATACTTTTCAACATGACCAGTCTGCCTGAGGGCAGTAGTAGCTACAGCTATACTAGCAGAGGAAGACTTTAGGACAGAGACTAGAAGTCCTGACTCCCCATCAGAGAGGCAGTCCATCTTTTCAAGCAGGTAGTGCTCATGCATAGTAAGGGATCCTAAAGAGACATATCTAAAGTCTCCTTGGGAAAACAAAAGATTGATAGAGAGGCAAGAAGGGCAGTGCTACAGCCCCTCAAGACCCTAACCTTATTCCCAGTTCCAGAGGAACCATTCTTATCCTTCCTCAAGGGATGCAGTGACAAGCGATAAAACCCTACATGGGAAATGTTCACTAGAATTTTCACAGGAATGAGATTCCTGAGAACCCCTGGATGACCTGAGGCTGCTCTCCAGAAAGAAGACTCCAGTATTTCTCAGATGCAGATAAGTAGAATCCCTAATGATTCTAAATCACCACAGCTTAAACAGGCACCTGTATTGAGGCTTCTGTTTTTAGATCCATTATGTGGGTAATCTTGCTAAGCTTATGCTCTCAGGCTCTTGATAATTTATCCAACCTCCCTCTTTGCCATACTTTGTTCTCCACAAGAAGCATGGAAATCCAACCTGCTAAAGTTACTTTCTTTCTCCCATTGAACAGACAGCTCAATAGTCACTAATTCTTTTCTGTTGTCTTCTAACAGTTCTTCTCTTTGACCCAGCCAGTGAGCCCCAACACCCTAAGGTGATTGGAGAAAATATAATCCCCAGTAGGTTCTGTCTATAGCCTCTTGCAGCCAGAAGAAGCTATAAAAAACAGAGAAATCCACTCCCTCCGCATCTCATAAAGAATTATGGGGATATGTGTTTCTCAGTGGGAAATGCAGCAGGAGATTAGAGTGTGATGAAGCTGGCTGGGAAGCCGGTGTGATCTGCTAATTATAAAACCCGAGGACACAAATACAGAGTAGTTCCCAAAGCCCTGCACGTGGACACTTCACAAAAACACCAGCAGGTTTTTCATAGGATCCTAGGTCTGATGTGAGCCTGAGGAGGGGAGACACAGAAAGGACAGTCCACACTAAGTTTTTTGCCAGTGTCTGGCTCTTACATGATGGCCCACCCTACTTTTACTTGGCTCATTTGCTCTGCAGAGGCTATTTCTTTTCCTACTTTTAGTAAAACTTAGCTACCATTTTAAAAAGTTGCTCTGTGGCTATAGCACTTGGAAAAATATTCTTTTCCTGGAAACACTATAACTGCATCTTCTCTGTGGACCCACACATTTAAGAAACATAAAATGAATTCATAAAAAAATTTTAAATGAGCTCATAAAAGCAGCAAGAAGGAAGGCAGGCGATTACTTGATTTCTTGGTTATTGTTGACTATGCTTGGAAATTCCCCTTTGGTAATGGGGATTTTTTTTGTCTTACTTTTCCTTTCCCTGAAGTAAAAGTCATGTCCGTGGTATGCAGGTATCCTTTTGGGGCCAATTGCTTTTTTTCCTGGCTCCTCTTCATTGCATTTTTTTCCTCTCCAGTACAAATCTGTGCAGCCCGTGCGGAAGTGTTATGAGATCCACTGGGATTATTGTGGGCGTTGTTCCATGGCCACCCCTCACACAGTTGTGAGGAAGGGCTGGAAACCTTAATATGGCTTTCATCCCGGTGCATGAAATGAATCCAGCCCATATTCCACTTCACAAGTCTCCTGAAGCCTGCTTCACGCTCTGAGGATATAACCTGGGTTTGGGCTTCCCAGGCCTCTGTTATCAGCTTTGAATGGTGGGGGGGGATTATTGGGGGTTGGGGAGTAAATCCCAGCCTTCTCACTGAACTACATCCATAGCTATTTATTTGTTTATGTGTTTATGAAACAGGGGCTCACTACACTGCCCGGACTGGGCTGCAATGTGTGACCCTGCTGCCTTAGCCTCCTGGAGTGCTCAGATTACAGGCATGTACCCCTGTGCACATCTTGCTTTGAATCTTTGCCTTCCTCTCAGCCCACAGCCTTTCCCCATTCATACCTCTCCTGCACCGCCACTGTACCCTCTGCTCCACCAGCACCAGGACTGGGATGAGAAATGCTGGCACTTCCAGAATCCCCGGCCATCCAGAGCTTCTAGACTGTGCCCGGACTGTGTTCAGTCTGCTGGAAGGTTCAACAGTCAGCTGTTGCCAGGGATCAGATCTTCCTTGTGAAGGACCACTCTTCTCAGCAGTGACAGGTTCTCTTTTCATTCTTGTTCAGCCAAGAAACAACTTTATTTTGGGATATTCAGAAAAACTCCCATCGTGCTCACTACCACTACATACCTTAGCTTCTGTTCTTCTAGAATCAAAACCTCAGAAAAAGCCTTCGGTCTTGAGTTCAGGTGGCCTTTTGGGAGGGGAACCTGGGAAGTAGGACCCGGGTAGAGTAAGTGGAGAAAAAAGCCAGTTGTCACACTGATGGCTGTTGTGGGCAGCTGGCTAGGATCCCGAGGAACCGTCAAGCTTGCACGCCAGACTACATCTCCGGAGTGCCTGAGGCTGGGCCCTTCCTCCTGCCTCCCCTCCTCCTAGCTGAGGTGTTCCCTGGGCTTCAAGCTGCTCTGTGCACAGGCGACAAGAACTATTGAAGCATTAATAATAATAATACTAACAACAACAACAACAGAATTTTTAAAATCTGTGGTGGCAAATGGCAAAGTTGAGGGACTCTTCAGGAACTTGTAGTGAGCACTCCCAGAATGCATGAAGAACTCCCACTCTGGCCACAGCTGGAGTCCCAGACGGGCTAAGGGGATGTGGCATGGAGCACAAGCAACATTGCTGCAATTCAGACAGGTAAAGTGATCTTCCTCACTCTCCTCAGCAACAAACCCATAATATTTTAAAGTGCCCGGATGGAACGTCTGCTGCTGTTTCTTTACTCCAAGAGGATCAGAGACTCCAAGACGGCCAGGTTGTGTGCAGTCAGGGCCCAGCTGATGTCCAGGGCCCTCCCATGGAAGTTCCTTATCTTCTGGCTCCTGTGTGTTCTTGTGTTCAACAAGTTCCTCCAGCTAGACTTAGACCAAAAAGATGGACATCCCAGCCCTTGTGCCATTCCTTGGCAGAGCTTTGAAAGAAGTTGACACCAAGGTAGGAATGCGGTGTGGAGATAGAACTTTCTCTTCTCTAAGCTGAACTTTTGGGAATCTTCAAAGCCAACCTGCAGATTGCTCCAAACTAGAACTGCAGTTATTTCTGCAGAAGAGAAATTCTCACAGTGATGTCTTCAAAGCCAGAGAAGGAAAGGGCAGAAGTCTTTACTCTCTGGAGAGAACTCATCAGGGAAAGTTGGGCAAACAGAACAAGTCTCGATGAAGGAGAGAACTTTGGGGCTGGGCTGGGAGCAGGGAGCCACGGAAGTGCCCCTTCCAAAAGATAATTCCTGTCAACAGATGACATTTTAAACTCTTTGAGAAACTCTGTAAGAGATTTCTTAGAGCCAGAGATGTAGCTCAGAGGCACCATTCCTGCCTCACAAGTGCAAGGTCCTGAGTTCAATCTCCATCACCAAAACAAAAACAAAACAAACAAGAGAGAGAGAGAGAGAGAGACAGAGAGAGAGAGACTGCTCAAAGTTAGGCTAACAGCTATAGAATCCCCAGCTCGGTGACACCATTCTTAGGTAATCCAGTCTGTGAGATAGGATAACTTGGATCTGGGCTCCTTCTTAATATTTGAACGAATAGCTTGGCCTTTTTGATGAGGATTGGTATACCCATAGATGCTGTTCTTCGAGATAACTACCACTTGCTGTACTCAGAGTATGCACACAGACTTTTGCCTACATTGGCAATTTTTAACACAACTACAAAGTTGCTTTGCTATCACCAGTTGACAAATGAGGCAACTGTGGCTCACCGAGGTTCAAGGAGTTAACTCAGGATTGCACAACTGCATAAGTAGCCCAGCTGTGCTTCTGAATGGTTCATGAGAAGAGACAGAAATATGGCTACTGGTCTGATGGTGTCTGCAGGCTTCTACAGACCCAGGAAGATAATAGGCACCCTCACGAGTCAGCCTGCTCCTCTGTACAGTAGCACAGCCCGTGCGCTGTTCAAAGTTCACACTTTGTGGTCAGAGAATGTTGGGGGAAATTGTGTAGTGGAATTGAGTATGACAGTGTCTCTGCCTTCTTCATACTCCGTGCTTAATTATTTTTTCCCTAATTCTGGGGCTGAACCCAGGGCCTCATGCATGCTGCACCAGTATTCTGCCACTGAACCACATCTCCAGCCCTTTTTTTTTTCTTTCTTTCTTTTTTTTTTATCGGCAATCGAACTCAGGACCTCATACTTGCCAGGCAGGCACTGTGCCACTGAGCTAAATCTTGGGCCCTATTTGTTTCATTTTATTTGTCTTTGTTTTGTTTTGGCGGGTTACCGGGATTGAACTCAGAACCTTGTACATGCGAGGCAGGTGGCAGCACCACTAAACTAAATTTCGGCCCCATTTGTTTAATTTTTGAGGCAAGGTCTCAAAGTTGCCTTTGACCTGTGGTCCCCCTGCCTCAGTCTTACGAGGAGCTGGAGTTCCAGCTTAATACCCCCGTGCCTGGGTTAAATAGTATTAATTTTCGTAGCAATATTTTTTGTATGTAAAGAGTATTTCATATCCTGGAGGTTGCTCATGAGAAGAATGTTTTCCAGAAAAAAAAATATTGAAATAAAAATGATACTTTGTATTCTATAAGATTCCTTTTTTTCCCCTAGTTACAAAAATCTGCTTATTCCTTGGGTCACACATTTATATTTGGAATCAAATTTCAAAAGTTTGCATAAACAAGTTTCTTTAAGAAACGTGGAAGGAAGAGCTTGTATGCTCACTCAGCAGAAAAGAAACTGCTGGGTTTTCAGGTTTGCAATGTAGAGAAAACCGGTTTGAAAAATCTCCACTTTATCTCACTGTGGCCGGAATCTTTCTCTTCTGCATGCATGCATGTGCGTGTGTGTATTTCCTTGAAGCTACAGAGACATATTTCGGTTGCATTTCATCCAGCTTTCTCATGCACCATTAGGAGAAATTCTCATGGACAACTAATAGGCTGTCACCCAGCAGGCGCTTCATGGGACTCACTCTCCTCAGCTTTGAAAGGGACTTTAAAAACCTTGAGGCGGCAGTGGATATCTGTGGTTTTGACCAGTTAATTTTCCAGCCAAGTTTCCCCAACTAGTCTCTGTGTGAGTTTGCTGTCTTCATCTGCCCACATCCCCGCTCCCCTCCACTGAAATTGCTTGGGTCAAGGTTTTAGAGAGACCTCATACCACTGGATTTGGTGGTCACTTTTTTGTCTCCCTGTCCCTCCAGCACCCCACAGTGTTTGACACAAGGGACCACTCCTTCCAGCTTGTAATGCAAACACGGTCTTTCAGCTCCCTCCGGCTTCTCCAGCCATTGCTTCTGAATGAATCCCTTCCCATTGATGCCCTGTAGTTTTTCACGGGCCTGGAGTCTCTCCACATCACGTCCCTGAAGCATCCCTTTCAGGCCTCTGGCTTCAGCTACCATTTATGCTAGTTTGGATATGGATTTTCCTCAAGGATGTCGAAAGCTTAGTCTCCATTGCAGCAATGTCAGAGGATGGTGGGACCTTTAGGAAGTGAAGCCTGGTAGGAAACCATTGAAAATGCTTTCCTAGGAAGGCATTAATATAGTTCCTGTGAGAGAGTGGTTAGTTTTTGGAGAGAGTGGCAAGACTGAGTCCTCCCCTCTGGCTTCCTGTCTGACCATGTGTCCCTACCATAATGCCATCTGCCATGATGTGTTTGGACTTACAGCCTCCAAAGCTGTGGGCTGAATGGCCTTCATAAGTATCTAGCCTTGGGTATTTCATTATAGCAATGGAAAACTGATGGATATTTCATCTGTTTATTGATAATTCTTAGATTTCTACTCCATGCTCCAGATACAAGTATTTAACAGCTTACTTGACTTTGTCTCTCAGATGTCTGATAGCACCTCAAAATTACTATGTTCTAAAGAAGGTGCTTTTCTCCCAGTGTACTCCTCCCCAGACCTTTTCCCAGTTATTGTACCACTGTTCACATAGTTGTTCAAGCTTCTCTTGTTCTTATCCCCACATCCAGTGCCTTAGCACGTCCTAAAGGCTGCTTCTCAATACGTGCATCAAAATAGTTTGCTTCTCTGTCTTCCACTTTGTCACTCCTCAACTGGATTATTGCCATAGCCTGTTGACTGGTATCCTTGTTTTGTTTTTTTTTTTGGTTTTTTGAGACAGGGTCTCCCTATGGACTTGAGACTCACCTGGAACTCACTGTGTAGCCCAGGTTGGTCTCGAACTTACAGTGATCCTCCTGCCTCAGCCTCCCGAGTGCTGAGATTACAGGCTTGCGCCAATACGCATGGCTGGTATCCTTGTTTCTATACTCAATCCTCCTATAATCATTTCCCAGGGTGTATCTTTCGAAACATAAGTCATATGATGTGGCTCACTGGTATAAAAACCCTCCTGTGCCTTTCTCATCACACTTGGGATAAAATACAGAGCCTTGGGCAAGACTTGCAAGACTTCCATGCCTTAGCCCAGGGCTGGCAGACTTTTCTGTAAAGGGCCAGGCAGTAAGTGTGTTAGGCCTTGTGAGGCCTGTCATCTCTGTCACTATAAATCAACTCTGGTCTCCAGTTCAACCATAGACAAAACACTAAATGAGAAAATGTAGCTGTGTTCCAATGAAACGATTTCTACAGAAACAGGAAGTGGGCTGGAGTTGGTCCAGGACCATGTTTTGTTTGCGCCTGATGCAGCCCCTTCCTGCCTTCCAAATAACATCACACACCTCTCTTCTTTTACTGTATCTCAGCCTCCGTCTCCCCATGCTAGGCAATCTCCCAGGATGTCTTCCACCATTTCTTATGTGGCCCCTTGTGACTTATGCTGGCTGTCTGATTGCTTTGGCCAGAGGAATGTGGTAGAAGTGATGTGCTAGAACTTCTTCCAAGGTGATTAGCATGTTTTTCTTCTCTTGGGACCCATCCCCTGTTCTGTAAGAAACCAGAAGCCACATAGGGAGACCACATGGAGGGACCTGAGGAGTTCTGGGCCGAGCCCCAGCTGAGCCCCCCACCAAGAGTGCTGCTGCCACCATGTGCCAGAGCCATCTTGCATGTTGCAGCCCTCTTGCACACATGGAACTTTCTGGCTGAATCTGGTCACCTCACAGAACTGGGACAGAGAGCATGGTTAATACTCAGGTCCAGTGCCTTGTTTGCAGCAATAGACAATTGAAACACGGGTCTTCTTTCTGCTCCTCAGAAACACCTAGCCCACTCTCCCCTCAGCTCCAGTGGCCCCTTCTGCTTGGAACACTTTCCCCAGACTCACTTGACAGGTTCTTTTCATCTTTCACATGGGCCTGTAGCACTTTCGTTTCCATTGGAAAGCTAGCCTTCCTTCAAGGCAGCCCACTGGTTAAGCCCCCTCTCTTCCCACCCACCCTCATATGTACTCTGGTTTTGTAAACAAGGCCAAGCCAATTGGTAACTCTACATCTTCTTCAATTTCGGAGTCAGAACTGGGTGTGCGGGCCAGGTCCTTGAATAAGAGTCAGGCCCAGGAATTATTATTAGTAAGGAGAGACTCTGTGCTGGAGTTGTTAAGTTGATTTAACATAAGCCTGGAACTGCTGGTGCCCAAACACCAGCAAGACTGAATGGGAATGGAGCCGACACAAGAGACAGAAGGCCAAAGACAGAGAAACTGAAAGAAGTCCCTAGATCTAGCCATAACTGACGCTGTTTCTCTAAATTTTTAGCCAATACTTCTCATTCCACGATCACCTTCTCTTCCTTTGGGTAAGCTAGTTTTAGATACATCTTCTGTCCCTTGCTCTTAAAATATCAATTGCTGGGCTCACCCTTTACTATTTCTGCCAAGCATGAAGTTGACGCATATGAAATTGCCATTCTTGCTGGTCAAAAATGACTGAATATCAGAACTCTTATATGCTGTCTCACTTCAACAGCTCCAGAAGTGGGAAAATCATTATCTGCTGAGGCAGCCCAATTAAAAATTAGAAAACTAATAGAAAGTTTTAAAAGACACACCCAAATCCATCTCCCTGTTCCCCCACAGGCCTGGGCACCCCTCATTTGAGCTCAAGTGGAGCACTTCACTTCAAAACACCAGAGAGGAGTCTCCGATGGGTAGAAAAGCATGAGATTATGGCCTCCTCATTCTGGAAACAATGCTTGGAGAAAGGTAGCCTATAATAATGTCCAACTTTTTCTTTTAACGTGCTGTTTAAGCCTTGTCTTCTCTATCTTATTCTAGTTGATTTTAACCTAAGTTAGGACCTCAATTAGCCTCGCTGAATTTGACTGTGTTCAGTGTAACGTACCAACCTTTCCTTCTGAAGCCACGGCCCTGCTCTTGCCCAGTGGGCGAGAGTCTTTTCCGTTATCCTCTTATGGTTGCCAGGATACAGACACAGTTCAGATCCACATGAAGACCTTTATGAATCATGATTGCACAGCCCAGGGTACCAATT